CTGCAGGCCAATTTTTATTTAAACCAGCTCCTTACTGGCCACGGAGTGTTCGGGACCTATCAACAAAAATATTTCAAAAAATCAGCTTCATGCAATTACTGTGGAGTGAGACAGGACATTGATCATCTACTTAAGCACTGTCCAAGATTCCGGGCACTTCGTGGAACCCACATGAATAATTGCGAAGAGGAACATCAATTCTTCGCTATATTGACCTGNCGGACTTTTCATTCTAATTCATGAATACTAATCTAGTATGCATGTGACTCATTCTAATACATGAATTCGAATCTAATATACAGATGTTTCATTCTAGTACATAAATACGAATCTGATACTCGGATGTATTTCATTTTAGTACATTTTTGTCTCTTCTTTGATTTAATTCCGAGAAATTGAAATGAGAAGTAAGTATGTCCCATTAATATTATTTCCTTCTCTTTCAGTATTAGAATTTGAAAAATCGAGGCTAGTAAGGAAGAAACAAAAAGTTAGCTGTGTACCTCTTTTTGCAAATGAGTTTTTTTTCTTCAAAAAATGACAGAACTTCGTAAGAAATTAAAATACTCGCCATTCGGATACATGAAAAAAATTAGCTTTGAATTTAATTTCTTTGGGTCTTACCACTTTTCCCTAGAAATACTCAGTGGCATAATGATTCTCTAAATAATACGTTTTTAAGCAATCTGGATGAAATAAAACTCATATATATTTCTAATAATCAGCTCGCAACTTTTCGTGGTTTCCATTTACAGTCAAGTAGGTTTTGTACACTTACTTAACGTGATAGCGATTTGACAGATTTTGATAGCAATTTCCTTTTCCAATATTAACTATCGACTCCCAATTTTTATAATTTTCGGCTTTATATTTGACAGTGATTATAAAAGTATATATTAAAATATATATTCAGGGGATACGTTACGGAACATTTTATATATTATAATATAAGTAAAACCATAGACGTTTTGAAAAATAATGGGGTTTTCTTCTTCACATTATTACGATTAATTTATACAGGTTAGTACAACTTTTGTCTAGTTAAAAAATATCTTATTTTGCTTATTCCATAGAGCTATTTATATTTAATATAACCCTATTAGTTTATTTTTTTCATGGTAAAAGCGAAGAAATAAATGTTAGAGTGGGGCGAAAAAAAATTTTTTTTTAATTTTTAAAACGGTGCTTTGTAAGAAATTCCGGATCAAATTACGGTTTAAAGTACCGGCACTTCAAGTGCATCATCCGCAATATATATATTTTACCGTAAAATATTGCACCGTAAATTTTGAAGTAACATTTATTTAATTAAAGTGATTCAGTGATTTCACGATTATTATTACTATTAAAATTAAGTTACATCAGACTTTTGGCCGGTAGCATGTTCCGGTAAAACTGGATTTTGCCGCATTATGGTCAGGAATTTTTTACAGTATGTAGGAAAAAAGTTATAGGTAAAAGAAAAGTAATAATAAATAAATAAATGGGCTGACATCGCGCCTTACAATAAGAAGTTACAATATTAAGCCTTTTCTAAATTTTTTAATATTATTTAAATTACATTATCGACACGCTATTATTTGGTATGTTTATTTCATGATTTAATAAAGTGAAATAAATTTAAATTCATTGAAATATAATTATTAGTTCAATGGGTACCCATTGCGCAGCGTGTTAGAAACAAGGGGCAAAAGTCGAAAAAGTAGAGAAGTGACCGCCAATCTGCCCCTGGGAGCTTCCTTACCTTTATAAATAAAAAGAAACTTTTACAGGTAGTTTTCATCAAATGAATTTTTAATTTAACTGAAACTGATCTTATACAGCTTGAAAAAAAAGTTTAGTAATCCCAACTTTCTTTCTAATTCTCTTGCCATTTACCCTCGTAGCTTACCATTTGTTGCATCATATAATCTCTGGTCGTGTTGTTAAGAGGACGATGTACTCCAAGAGAAGCTTTCCATGACAAATCAAATTCTCTTTCGTCAGTAATTTATAATTTAAATAACGCACAAAATGAGTTCAAGTAAACCAAGAGTAAATTGTGAAATGTCAAATTATGATTTTTTTTCTTCAAAATATCAATTTGGGAACAAATTATGACAGGACAATTTCCCTTCTCCATAACTATAGCTAATTCAACCATTACTTGTTTGCAATTCTATATTTTGAAAAAAGTAATTCATGGTACGAAGCAAATAGTTACATAGTTCATAATCCATTGTTTATGACCATAGTTCCTAATAATAGTTTCCTCTTGACTGACCAGAACTTACTTTTTTCTTTCTTTACATTTTTATTAAATTACAGATGTAGTAGGAAACGAATTTGACACGTAAGGTTTCTACTATGGTATATTTATACAATCGCTCTCTTAAAATATGAGAAGGGTTATTCATTTTAGATTCGGTCGGATAGGATTGATACAAACTGTAAGAAATGAAAAAAAAATTATAATGGAAGCGTAGAATACACATACCACACATATTAAGCTTTAATATTGGACAGGAATTCATCTCAGATTTCGTCATAACAATAATGGCTGACGTTCAAAATGATGGCCTCTGAAATTTTTTGATGTGCCCTTTTTCAATGTTTTTTGACGATTTTGAATTATATATATTAAGGAAAAGACTAAATTTAATATTTTATGCACGCAGCTTTCTATTTTAAGCAATGTATGCTACTTGCTTCCTACGGCTCTTCAACCCCTTTCCAATGCTTGACTATTATTATTGTTACTAGATAAAAGACAGAGTGTTACACATAGAGTATTATGTATTATTCCTTACTTTAAAATATATGACTTATTTTCTTAACAGTATGCCTGTTTAAATCAAATTTTATGGATTATTTAATGGTAAAGTATTTACACTTATAATAATGTCTATTGGTTTTCAAATCGAGATGTCAATTCTCAAGTTTCTGGGAAATATTTAATATGAAATTAAGTGGGGTGAATCATTTGTTCGGGCCAATATTACAACAGCTGTAAAAGCGGATTTTTTGCTGTAAAGGATTTCCAAGTAGGTTGCACCCGCAGAATTCATCAAATTATAGTCAGTAGCTTATACTTACTAATTCAGTAGGCTTACAGTGGATACAGCTAACGGAAAACAGATTATTAAATTCCATTCAAGATAAGTCATTTGATGTAACGGATTACTTTTCACATGTCCCCAACTAAGATTCTGGTTTATTGTTCTAAAACAAGAGGATTTTTTATTGACTTTTGCTAGAGCAATACAAGAAGTATCTTTTCAGCAATATGTCAAAATACTCTCTAGTATTGTTCCTTGCTTCTTTTCTATCGATCACACTCATTATACCTCGATGGATTGCTGATAATTTAAATAACATGATTTTACTTAAAGAACATCATATCTCTACCTATGAAAAAATTATAAAAGGAAAGTTTGTTGTCAAAAAATCAAATCGGTTATTGCTATTTCGATATCAAACCCATGAGGAAAATAGTGCATCAGTCAAAAGTGACAGAAAAGTTGTAGGACTACTAGAAAACCCTAATTATTTACATCTCTGGATGGTGTCTGTATTGCTTGTCATCTTTGTCTGGATCTGAGATGGGACCTTAATTTTACCAAGACGGAGACGATGAAAAAATCTGAGTGTTACCATGAAGCGAAAGCCTTCACAAATGACTGCTCCAAAAATTGTCGAGTCGCTTACTGTGGTAATTCAAGATTTTGGAAACTCATTCAGTGATTACAGTTCTAATCTTCTGGTAGTTGTCAGCATAATTATTTTGCATGCAACAGTTGCAGAAATTGCAGGATTGAAAGAAATTGGAATTGAGTTGAATAAGTTGTATGTCAGTTAGAGGTTTATTTATAAAATTCGACTTAAATCAGATCTTACTAAGCATAAAAAAACAACTATCAGATTCATTAATACAGATATGATTTATATAACAGATTCATTCAAACATGTTTAATGCAAAAGCTGCACCACTTTTTCTATTGCTGAAGCATTACTTTAGGCATGTTGCAGATAACAGTTTTATTAATTCTGGTAAGATATTCAGATATGATTTAGACAAGAAGGTCATTGATTCAAACTTGTTTCCGATAACATTTTTGACCTGTTCAGATAACTGATTCAGTTCGACATATTCAGATAACATATTCATTTCAATACCTTCATTTCAATACGTTTATTTCAATACGAGAATAATTTCAATTTATTCAGATAACTGATTCATTTAGAAAGGTTTAATACTTTGCTTACGGCTGGTACCAGAATAGCACTTACTATCATGCTTCGTAGAGTAAAGGTCAGGAAAACGTATTCGCATCACTTTTTATTCTAAATGATCAATTTTAATCTAAAACGAACTAATTTTAAGATGTATATTTAGTGTAGTTTAAATTTTAACTAACTAATAAAAGTTTACAAGCTTTTTTTTTTAAAAGCGCAAATTAATAAGCTCCTTAAGTAATCTGAGAATCTTACCTGTAAGACGAATTGCAGATGCAAGCTGGTTAAGGCAAAAAAACTGGAAATAATTCGGATAATTTACTCTTTTCAAACATATCGTGCAACCAAAATACTTTGAAATTGTGCTTTATTTTACTTCTTTTTTTTAAACCATAAAATAAGAAGAAAAAAAACAGAATGTCGATTTTAAGTTTCAACGGCTTTAGCACATCAGAAAAATGTTCAATTGAGTTTAAAAGTTTTTTATGTTGATTTACTTCTTTCCTCATTTATCTTTTTGGCATATTAACTATTTTAAAAATAAAAACTTTACTTCTTTTCGTCTTACCATAATACACATATTAAGATTTTATAAATAAGATTTTATAAATAATAAATAAGGTATTTTATAAATGATAATATATATAGAATAATATATAAGTTTATAAATAATTTTCATAACAAAAATAAGACTCGAACCAAAAGAATGTCTTAGAAACCAAATAACTGTTTTAAATTTTTTGTCTATTTTTATCTCACTGTGCAACTAATAAAAACAGCACAAATATTTTATATTTTTTAATTTCCAAAATTATCAACATTTGTACATTTTTCTGACTCTCTCTATATCAGATGCTGTCATTCCTTGCTTTTCGTATGGATCCAACAGTTTTTCTCCGTTTCTTGCAACCATAGTATCTTTATCATTATTAGAAAAGGCCTTGTTGCCGTAGATCATGATAGATTTATAATCAAAAGTATTATACAATATATTTTGTTTTGGTGCAAGCTTACGGAAATTTCTTTGCATACCTAAATAAAATAATATATATTAAGGTATATGCATTAAGGTAAAATATTCTTTCTCTTTCTCTCTGTATATATATAGCAAAGCATGTCCTTCATATATATAAACACACACACACACACACACACACACACGCACGCACGCACACACACGCATATATATATATACATATACGTATATATACATGTACATATATATATATATATATGTATGTATATATATGTACTAACTTACTTTCATCTGCATTCTCTAAGTAGATGATCAGATATTCATCTCTGTCTGAACGACTTTGCTCGTGATAGAAACCCAAAGCATGTCCTAATTCATGAATAACAGTACCAACATACATGCACCCATCGCCTAGGGATAATGATTGTGGATTACCTATTCTACCCACAGCGGAATAACACCTTAAAAGTAAATAAAAATAGGTTGAGTAACTGAAAAATAAATGCTTAAATGATGCACAATTCGTGTCGCATCAATTAATTTTTACAATCTTTGTAAACTATATAATTTAAAATGATAAAATACTAAAATTTAAAAATAACGTCTGCTGAACAATAAATTCGTAAAATAAATGAAAATTCAAAAGTGTTATTTTTTTTCCTCAAATTTTGGAACTGAGTTGTTTTACTGATTTCTCAAAAATTTTAGATTTGACCTTTTAGTTTTGCATAGTTTAAAATAATCCAAAAACTTTCAGTGATTGCAATTCGAAAAGCTTTTGACCATTATTAAATATACGACAAAAGCAATTACAATGATAAAAATTTTCACAATTTTATGCAAAATTTATTGATTAGCTTGAAAAATTTATATTGGAGAAATATACAAAAAATAAAACTAGTATTAAGTGTCACAAACTTACGACCAGCTTCTGGCTAAGCAATTGGAACCATAGTTTTCAGATTACGGCTAATTTCATATTTTGATTGTCGCTAACGCGAATCCATCAAAAAAAGTTATGTTTATAAAGTTAAATTTATTTTTTTGTTTCTGGCTTCATATAATTTACTTAATATTTTACAATAACTAATTGGAATATATAAAAGAAGCTTTTAAACTATTTAGTTTAGAAGAAATTACGTAAAAATCTGATCTTCAGATCAAAAGTTATTCAAATTAATTTTTTATTATTTTTTTTACTCTCTGTTCAAATGCATGCATTGAAACAGATTAATTAAAGCCAATTTGACAGGCAACATTTTAATTATTATTTCACTGTTAAAAGTTGAAGTTTGAAAGCAATAAAATTTATACATAAATATTACCTTTAAAAAAGGCATTTTTTTAAAGGTAATATTTAGGCCAAAGGCCAAAATGTCATAGTTATTTCTTTTAAATTTAGTATAAACCGCTTTTTGTTTTGCTCTATAAGCTAATCTCTATTTTTGATGACAACCTCTTTCAAGTTTAATTTCATTAACTTGACGTTTTTCCGCTCATATTTTTTTAAATACTTGTTAGAAATTTTTTTTGCATGATTACCCTCATAGAAAAAAGGTTAGATTCTTAATCCCTTCTCTGCCGAATTTCCATCCCAAACAAAGCATTGTTTACGATAATTAATGAATGTTCTATCCTAAATAATTTTTTTAAATATTTGTTAGAATTTTTTTTGCATGATTATTTTCATAGAAAAAAGTAGTATTCTTAATCCCTTCTCTGTCGAATTTCCATCGCAAACAACGCATTTTTTACGATAATTAATGAATGTTCTATCCTAAATTCAAAAATGCAAAATAGTTTTGTCAGCAAGCAGTTTTTTGCTTGACTTATTGGAATGAAATATGTGAAGTCCCATCCACTGATCTCCAGTTTTCCCTGCAATGCATGAATTTGTTTTTCAAAAATAAATACACTGCGATAGCATATTTATTAACTCTATTAATTTAAGGCGTTCAAGATAAATATGGGCACAAAATAATTATTACAATTAAGTAAAAAATATTTTTTTAAATAATTTTTCTAACCTTACCGTTAAAACAGTCTTGAGCATCACAGCCCAAGATAGTTTTCAGTCACATTTACCGCAAAACTGAAACAATAACACTAATAAAAGCGAAAGTACTGACAGTGTGAAATGATTTTGATTTTTATTCAAGGTGGAAAACCTCACTGCAGAAACTGTGAAGAAAGTGGGATTACATCTAAGAGATGGTGCAGCACCATCTCGTAACAATATTCTAAAATACAAAAATAATCTCTGGATTTAAAAAGACGGTTAAGTAGCGACGAACTCATTTTCAATAATGCAATTTTTCTCTTCGTTGCATGACGTGCGACGCGGACCATACGGGCACAAAAATGTCGAACGTATGAGATGCGACACAGACAGAGAAATGGTTAAAACCTCAATCTGTTACTCAGATACTATCTACTATCAAGCTAACAATTCTAACTTTGTTATTCAAATTTATTCGTGTTTAGGTACTTTAAAAATATTTTTTTTATTTGACTAATTTAAAACGTATGAGATGCGATTTCGACAGAAAAGAGATTCAGCAGTCAATCTCTGTTACTCTGTAAATCTAACTAACAATTCTGACTTAGCAATTCAAATTAGTTCGAGTTTAGATATTTTAAATATATCTTAGATATTTTAAATATGTCTTAGATATTTTAAATATATCTTAGATATTTTAAATATATTTTAAATATATCTTAAAACGTCAATTTTATGTTCCGATATTTTTGTACAACTCTTTTTTTAGTAGCTTTCCTGTGTAAGATAATAAACTAGGAAAAGATAAAGCGTTGCGCTTACCCTTTTCCCTCAAAGATTTTGATGTAGTCTCTCTCTGTTGTTCTGGGAACAAATCTTACACAAGTATTTTTGTGATAATTCTCAAAAGCTTCTTTTATAATGTCTGTGCTGTCCTCTTAAAAAAAAGAGATAAAAAAACATGAAAACATGAAAAACATGAACAAAAAGAAAGTTAATATTTTATTTTACTATCTATGTATATTTTTGTAAGTTTATTATTTAGAGAGATTTTTTCTAGTTTAAAATATATCTTTTGTAAATGTGTTAGGTATATTCAGCGCTTGTACATATTTTCTCTAAACATCATACATAAACATATAAATCATTGAGTTCGAAAACTAATCATCTCCAACAAAACTAACTTTTAAGAGAGGCAAAAAACTGAATAGTTAAGTATTACCTTGATATATAGAGCTATTTTTTTATTTTTTAATATTAAAATATGGCAGGTTACAAAATATGCTATTGCAGTTGTGTGACTTAATTTTCATACTTTCATCACTTAATTTTTTAATTAAAAAAATAACAAGATTTTATAAATGCCTGGTTTTCAGGCAAAACCTTAAAACGAATACTATACATTTTTCTAACAAGCAAAGCAAAAGTATTGTTAATTTGTCACAAAGAAATGAAATAAATTCCTTATTTAAGTCTTACACTTCATATTCATGGATATTTCTATAGATTCAGAAATCTTCTGGATTATGACTATTTATGCTATTCTCTTACAAATTTCTTCTTGGAAAGAGAAAAGCTAATTTTTAAAAATATTAAACATTAAAACTTACCAAAAATGATTTTTTACATAATCAAATATTTTCATAATGAAACCAAAGTATTTTAATATTCCTAAACATAAAAAAAAAATCTCCAGAGATTTTAGAAGTAATTTAAATGCGTTAGATTTAAAATATATAATTCTGGTTATAAATATTACCAACATTTCTAACTTTTCAGGAAACGTAAATGCAAAATGTTGATAGTTACGGAAAATATATTTCTAAATGAGATAGAATAATTAAAAATAAGTCAAAATATTTCAGAGCATTTTTAAGTATTTCAAAACGTAGCAAAAACACTATTTGAAGTATGCGAGTTTTCGTAGTATTCGGTTTGTTATTTTTATGGTTTGTATAACTTAAACTTTAAAAGCACTAAATATAAAAGAAAATTAAAAGAACTAAGAGATTAGATTACTCATTAGTTTTTATATTTTTAGCATAAAAACTATTTAAATTCGTTTATTGTCAAAAATTTCAGAAAACAATAATAACATTCAACAAAAAATTTCTTAGTAAAATGATTAATATTTACTTAATGATTTGTCGATGATGTATGGTACTTTAGCATCAGCCCACCTGTAACGAGCTGGAGGAATCGCATTGCGATCGAGATTCTATAAAAATAATATAAAGAAAAGAAAAATGTTTATTTGAAACTTTTAAAACCAAATAGAAACATATGACAATTATATGACATCATTCGACAGTGACAAAAGTGTAAGTTTATAAGCAAATTTTTACAATTAAATTATACTTTTAATTTTATAAACTTTTGTTTAATGTTAGATACAAATAAAAAAAATTAAACCCAATAGTTTCAAATAAATTTGTGGATTATCTTCCATAATTAATGTTCAAATAAACTTACTGATTATCATTTTCTATTGCGCAAGTAAAATGTAAGAATATCTAAGCTTATATTCAAATTTATAATTCATGCAAAATGGCTATTTTAGAAATAAAAATTTTAAATTTGCGTAACGATTCATATCCAAAACACACATTAGTTGTAATTATTGCTGAAAATATCTTTCGCCAAATCATTATAATGCATTATGGTGGGCGAGAATTTTCCTATTAAGTTGCGCAAATCACAACTTGCAATTAAAACTGTTAAAATAGATTGATGAGATCGAGAAGAATTTATCTGAATGCAAAAAATTAAGCTAACATTGAAATTTAAATCCAATTCGATAAAATTACCATTCTTCTAAAATTAAAGATAACATATTGACCAAAGGATCTGGCTTCAAAAAGGTGATTTAAATTCATTGAAGGATTTGAGTTACATTTTCGTTCAAGATAATTTCATCAACATGGGACGTTTCTCATTTAAATATCAATTCGCGAATCTTCTTTTACCTTTATATACATGGCTTTCAGGTCTGGTTAATAAAAAGCCCTTCGCTGTGAATTCACTATTTATATTTAACAGAACTTGACATCTAATTCTTCACTTTTTTCACTGTGTTTGTTGCAAGAGCGTATAACTATTCGATGGCTACATTTAACTATTTGATGTCCACATATAACTATTAAATATGAGAAAGTATTTCTGTTGAAAATAACAATTTTAAAATAAGTAAAATTTTCTTACAAAACATATAATTTCGCTTTATACTCCTTGCCCTTAATAACACTTTTTGGAAACCTTAAAAATCAGTTTAATCAATATTTTTAATCGTACCATTTTGTTCCGATATTTAATCCAGGAGCTCTCTGGTCTTCTGAGTTGGGTTCACAATTGCAAGGCTACAGATTTGAATATAGGTAGTCGTGAACTTATAATTAGTTCAAGTGTTAATCATCGGTAATAAAAGAAAATTATATCCAGCCAAGAAAAAAACAATAACTCTTTTTAAATTTGTTCAAACCCTTAGAGGAAAAATATAGAAAGAAAAACATGATTACCATAAGGTAATCAATTATGTTCATCAGAATCACCTTGTTAACACCAAGTAATCAAACTAGATTACTTCGTAAGATATTTCAAGAAACTTTCGATTAACTCATTTCCCTTTCCTTTAGCAATGAAATTTGCTTTAATTTTTCAGATTCGCTGTCCTCAATTGTGAGTCGTTAGATTTAAGTAGTGTTTTTTTTTTACTTTTTAAATTCAGATTTCCAACGTTTAAGTTTTATTTAATTTGTTACAGGGTTTATAAAAATATATTTTAAAGCGGTGATTGCTGATTAACATGTAAATAGCAGAAAAAAATCCGTAAAAAAATTTAAATAAGGATGATGTTACTGAATCACCCTCTTTATAGGGTGATAAAGTTATAACTAAAGAATACATGATTTTCCTTAAAATATACTGAAATGCTTACATCATCTACTCCTAACATGTCACCATCATACAAATCAGGATTTTGTAGAGCAAGTTTAGCTTCTGAAAAAAGAATTAATAACAAAATTAAAACATTAATTTCACGTAAATTTATAGATTGCATAATAGAATAGTTTTTAAAAAATACATTTATCTAAAAGGAATATTTCAAAAAAAGCATACTGATACTCATATATCAAAGATTTGAAAACGCTTTTAAAAATTCTAAATTGTGTATTTTTGTTCCTCGCTATTTCCGAAGGTGTTAATTTTTGATATTGTTGTATGAATGCATATATTTAACTAAATGTTGTGTTTATCCTGATATCACAATAAGATTTTGCCAATAATTGTGTTTGCCAAATATCAAAAAAACTTATCCTGTAACTTCCTTTATGTTTTTATTACGAACTTGATAAATCTTATAAATTTTACTTACGTTATGTCTTTTATTCAATTTAAAGATAAATTTCACTAACCACACTAAGTTCTAATATTGGCTTAACTGGCATTCCTAAATAACTGAAATGGATATTAAAAAGACATTTATAACGGGTGAAACAGTAAGATAACTTTTTTTCAAAACAGTAGCTTATAAATTCTAAAATAAGAGAAGAAAAAAAACGATACAGTCAATAAATAAACAATAATCTATTGGTAAAGTTCATATTGAGAAAAAACCATCACTCGTATTAGCCCAGTTAATGAAGGACTTTTGTAGGAACAAATTAAGGACAAGCTGAATTTTTATCAGTTGTTAGCACCTAATGAAAGGGATATTAGGAGATAGTCTATCCCTTTTGTGCAGTCTTCCAGGCCTTAAATATTTATTTCACAAACATTTTGAGTTAAACTCATATCTCTGTTTCAAATTTATAAGCTTTTTACAATTTTATTTCAAAATAGCAATTTTTTTTTAAAAAATAGGCGTTTTACTTTTTCAAAGCCTGCAAAACTTTTGCCAAGAAATTTTTTAAAATATTAAAGATTTTTGGTTTGAATTTTATTATTTCTATGATTTGTAAGAAACAACGCTTTTATTTTTGATAATGTAATTAAAAAATACTTTTAAAAAAATTGTAAAGTACTTAATTGCCATATTTCACCGATTACGGTTACCTTTCGTATTTCGAGGGTTATGAATATAAATTTTCCGAAAAAAAGTTCTATTTTTACAAAATTCCGTTTATGTTTCTGATTTCTTTACTTAAAACATCCCCTGAAGTAATTTTATTGTATATTTAAGATTAAACTTTGAAACTATAAAGACTGAATTCAAACAATTAAAAATCCCACAATTAAATTAAAAGTTATTCAGTGTGTTCTCTATTGTGCGAATTATTCATAAAAATGAAACGTACCTTCTCGTTGTTGAGGGCTCATTTGAGTTTCAGCAAAAACTATACTTAACAAACAGCAAGCAATTATTAGAGGCTTCATGTTTGTATTGAAAGATTTGAATATTGAGAGCTGTTACTTTGAAATTGAGCTTTAAATTTCAGTTGTTGCCCAATAGAAAACGTTTCCTGTTTGTTATCTTCCATGAGAAAATAAGTGACTCTTTACAGCTTGCATTAATAGGTCAGAGCGAATGTTTGTATACTATCAACAAGATCTTTGATTTCAATAAGAAAAAGAATGGTAAATTTAACTAAAATGTAACATGTTTTGAATTCTAAAACGCATATATCAATTTATCACAACCCAGAAGTAAATATTTCACAGTTCTAAATATTTTCATACATGATAAAATTTATGAAAACTATACTTTATAATTAATTGTCAATTATTAGTTTTAATCTTTTTCTTATTTAAACTCCTATAGTTTGAGAGAAGATGTTTTTTTATATCATTTTTAGAATTTTATTGTGTGTATTGGTATTACAAACATTGTATTACAAACACTTGATATATATTTGCGTATTTAATGCATCCTAAGAAGCATATTTTATTTGTGTAATTTATATTTATGTGCTTCCTAAATCAGTGAATAAGATGAAAAACCATTCATGATTGGGAAAATGGGGGTTAGTATGGACGTGAAACTAGAGTGGGCGTATTAAATAACTTTCTTTTTTATTGGCTAAATATCTTGTGCAAGATATCGTAGATTAGCAACACTAATGTACACTAACATGTGCAATAGTATAATCACTCTGTGAATAGTGAATATTTTATTTGAAATTTATAAATTAATTTCGAAAAGAATTTTTCTTTGTTAATAGAACTTTTTCAAGATGCAAAGGTAACTTTCAAATTTCTTTTTACTCTTTTATTAACATATCTTATTTTTAGAATTTCTACAAAAAGTGATAAAAATGTTGCATGAAACCGCTTTTCGCAGGTTTTTCAAGTGAGAAAAATATCATTAAGTCTTACAATCTGTATGTCGTCTATTATTGAACTATTTCAGCATAAAGTTAAAATTGATTTAACATTAAATTGGTTTTGTGCTTGACAATACGAAAGAAATAAGCTATCTAAAACGTATCTCAACTTAAAGAAATAGCTAAAACTATAGTATTAGCTATGTGTGTTTTATTCAAGGAATGTGAAAATTTTACGTTTTTGGTAAGAATTCAAATATTACCAAACTCATTACAGAAAATGAAAAAAGTAAAAGGAAATAAGAGAAAAGTTTTCTTTTATTTATTTTCTGAAATAAGATAAAAGTTGTATAAAAAATCAAAAAGTTTAGCAACAAAACAAACCCCTCAGTGAATCAGAATTTCAACAACGGTCTTCAGATGTTCAAGAATTAAACTTGAAACTTCTTGAAATGTTAACTCAATAAAAGTTAACGACTTTGTGTTTATTTATTAAAAAATAATAATGATATGCATTATGTTGATAGAAAAGAAGTTGCTTATAGATTTGGAGATTATGATGCTTAATTAAGAAGAAAGGGATGAATATATTTCTTCTAGTCATGATTGAACTTTAGAAAAGCGAGTATAAAAATTTTATTTCTCAGGAACTATTCAACCAATTTTGTTCAAATTTTGTGTTGTACTATTTAAATTTAGATACTTCAGAATGATCTAAAAACATTATACCCTGCTAATTGAATTTTTTTACTCTTATCAAATAAAATAATAATAAATAATAATTATTTACTGAAATTTATATTTTGCCTGGCATTTTCTTTTGAGAAACAAATTTTAGAACTGTGCACAAATTTTTTTAATTCGCTTAAAATATGCACAAGATATGGCGAAATACTGTGAATAAATAAATAAAATTAAGGATAAAAACTTTGGAGAGCTTTCCTGAACAAACTATTGGGACCATATCTTCCAGATTCCGACAACCCCCTATACTTTCAGGGGTCAGAAATCGGAATCCATTCAAAAAATGTATGTTTATTTAAAGTAGGTTTTTGTATTTGATTTCATAACTTAAAATATCATCTGCACTAATTAATTAGCATATTTGAAGTCTCTGTCTCGAACCATTAAGATTGAGTCCTAGAANATATATATATATATATATATATATATATCTGACTACACACATTTAAGACAGTGATCAGTTCATCATCAATATTAAGAAAATAAAAGATTTCAAAGCCAAAAAAGTGCTTACCAAAATTGTTTCGTCTAGACTTAAAGAAGTTAAATTAAACTTGTTGGCAAGCTAGAGTAGATTTTAAATACTAATGAATAATAATAATACTAATAAATAATAATACTAATTAAGTACTAATGTAAAGATCCATTTTAACCTTTAATATAAATACACATTGTCTTGGTTTTGTTACCTTTTAATTAAGCTAAATTAATTTTCTTTCTGATAATTATTTTTTGCTTTAAAATTTAATGCTTACTGTTTTTAGATCTGGTTATTCTAACTTAAAAAAGTTTATAACAGTTAAAGTTCATTAAGTTTTGGTGTACAGACCTTTACAAAAGAAATACATTGGCTCACATAATCCATAATCTCAAATAGGTGCGCAGATTGATTTTGACGAAATTCTTAAATTGCTTTATTATCCAGCAAAGGTGCCACTGAGATAATTAGCATATAATTTTTTAATATTAACATATGCTGTACTAAAAACTTTAATAACGAATTCATCATGGTATTTTACAAACATCTAAGAGACAGAAAATTAAATCAACTCTCACTTGTGCAATAATAATTAATTAAACTTACTTATTGTCGTGATTTTATTTTAAATCTCGAAATTAAGTGCCCGAGATGTGAAGGTAAAAAAGACGAGTGAATTACGCTTTTTCAAATTCCTAAGATCAAATTCAAATAAGAACATAAAATTCATTCATAAAACTGTGTTATATCGGAACCAACTCTTACAATGCATTAAAAGGACGAAGAGACTTGAAAGAAATGAGTTTACTAGAAACTAACTTTCGAAGAATTTAAATGTGAGGCGCAGTTTGCTGAACGCCTTTACTTTAACAGACTAGCTGGGAACAATTGATTTGAAGCTGGGTGAACTGCAACACCGGTACATAATGGAATCTCAGGACCTCAACAACTATTTCCTCTTGACTTACAACCATTTATTAGTCTGCTATGAAGGTATTCACTTAAAAACAGCAACACTTTTCTTCTATTACAACATTTTAAAAGCAAATATTTTTCAGTAAATATTTTGAAAAGTTTATGTAATGAAGCAATGACTGAACTTGAAGCAACTTAAATAAAGCATTGTTTTTTTATTATGTTCTATTTATTAGTCACAATAACTAACAATTGTACATTTTTCTGACTCTTTCAATATCAGCTCTGCTCATCCCTGGTTTGTTGTATGGGTCAGTCAACTTCTGCCCGTTTTTGGCTCTCATGGTATCTTGCCCATTCTTCGAAAAAGATTTGTTGCCGTATATCATGACGGAACCGTGGTCGAAGGCATTATATAAGATATTCTCATGTGGTGCAAGTTTCTTGAAAGCAAATGCCAATCCTGCATAATAAAAGAAAAAAATTGAGCTCAATAACATAGATGATTTGGTATTAGTTAATATTAAGAATAACATTTGTTTTCATAGGAATGAAATTTTCAAGCATACATTTTAAATAAAATAAAAGTAACTAAGTGCAAACTAGAGGAAATTCCTGAACTGGGGCGATTTTTACAATATTATTTGTGCAATCCAAGTTCCTGAGCTGAAATAAGCCTATTATCTTGTCATGATATCTGTATAATACAATTCAGGAAATTGTATTTGAATAATACCGATATTAAAATTTATTAGGCTTTTGAAATATGGTTACTAGAAGTTCTTGATCGAATAGTTAAAAGTATTGTTTTATCTAATCGAGTACATTATTCTGACCAAACTATTATTATTACAACAAAAAGCTTATTATGAAAATCTGGCAAAGGTTGCTCGGAAAAAAGAATTATAATGATTTTGGTTACGAAAGAACTTTTGATTAATGTAAAAATGATAAATTGATATTTAACTCTAGCAAATAAATTATTTGTAAACTACGATAGAATTTTTAATTATAATAAAACTTTTGGTTTTAATTAAACTTTAAATGACAATAAATACTATAATATATTTTAATATACTGAGTCAGTGTGAGATCTGTAGAACCCTTTTGTTTCTACCTAAAAGATTTTACTCTTGAATAGAAACGAAAACTCCACAGATCATCAAATTTGCACTTTTACAAAGACATTAGCAGAAATATGTCTCTTGAGAATTCCTCTATAAATATCTTTCCAGAACTTTTTCCTACCACTTACTAATACCAAGTTCTTCTTAAACCTTCTAACCTTTCTCAAAGAAAAAACTCAATCAGGTGATATTGCATAAAAGCAGTGACACACTCAAATAAGTTTCCCAGAGAAAAGATAGCTCGGTTGATGACAACTTTAATAGGGGTGAGGCACGTACCCTTATTGCCCACTCTTCTGATGAAAGAACAGAAATTAAAATTCCGACTGGTAAAATTGCTTCGATTTTCACTATAAAACTAATTGCAATAAAAGAGGTGCGTATTTTTTTGACTACAGACTAAAGGACAGTCCATCCTCTCTGTCTCAAAATAAGTCCTAGAAGAAATATGTAATTGGGAAACAAATTTAACCCAAGGCATCGAAAACCTTCTGAAGCAAATAATTAAAACTGCATCTTCCAGTAGATTCCTGCCTATATGGACATGTAGGCATATGAATACGCAAATGTTCGTGCTAAAAGTGCCCGAGACTTGGATTGGTCCCCCATCAATCCTCCATTAACTCTCCTCCATTAACTCTCCTAGAAGTCTCATATCTGCAATAGCAAGACTCCTTACAGGACACTTCAAAGACGTGAAGATATCTACAAAAATGTCCATCAGATACTACTCGATGCAGGCATTTTCCCAAACCCAATTAACACCAGGAAACGTTTTTAACTGTCAGACCATTTTGGCTGCACTTTTTAAATTTGGTACACCACCAGAGTACATCCTATACTCGTAGAACTCATCCTCCAAACTTTTGGAAACATTAAACACTCAAATGGTTAAAGTAATAATAACAATATGTACTATTTAGTTTTAAATGAAATGATGAATCAGAATATTTAGTTCTTTTAAGGAAATCAAATAAATCAATTAACTAAAACTTCAAACTCACCATCTTGAATATTTTCAAGATAGATTATCAAATAGTCATCTCTGTCTGATCTATTTTGTTCGTGGTAAAATCCAAGGGCATGCCCGAATTCATGGACCACTGTACCTACATACAAGCATCCGTCACCAAGAGATAGTTGTTGCTGCCCGTTTATTTTACCCACATGTGAATAGCACCTGTTTAAAGAATGGAATTATATTAAATTGCATTCATATTTCACAAAAGTTATATTTATTAGAGATTACAAGAAATTCTTGAAAAATGATAGGATTCTAAAATTCGAAGTAGTTTTTTTAGTAAAAAGTGAATGTGAAGCTAATGAAGTGAAGCTAACTAGAAATGCCAGTGAAGGAACTTTTGAATATCTAGAAAGTTTTGTAATCACTTTACTTTTAGAATACTTTATTTTTAGAATATTTATTTTTAGAATACTTGTGGGGAAAAAACATACATTCTGTAAGGTTGCAAATTAATACTCAACTGAGGAAATTATATAGAAATTTAACGACTCGCAAATGAAAATGATGGAATTAAACACATAAAAACAGACAAGGGTTGAAAAACGATAGCTAGAAATACAGCACAATCGGCAATCTGGCAGATTTAAAAGTTTCATGACCATCTTTCTTAACAATGGTTCATCAGATTTCAATAGCCTTTTCTTTGTCTGTGCTCAAATAATTATTTATATAGCTTTCTAATTTCAATTTTGACAACGATTCTAGATCTTCAATTGATAGTTGTAGTTTCATAGTAGAATCTATACAAATAAAATCTATAACTATTTCGTTTTAACAAAATTTTTAATCAAGAAAAATAAAATCAATAATACTTCATAGCGTTTGTTTCAGAATTTCAGCGAAAAAAATGTATTTTCCAAACAGCATTAGCTATCCTCTGCCTTTATAGTCCGCTTGCCGAAGTCTGCATTATTTATGAGTAAAAAGAGAATTTTCTGTAATTCATAAACAACTTCCCTTTCAAATGTTCTTCTGCTAATATTTTAATATAAGCTATGTATTTACCTTTGCCCTTTAAAGACTTTGATGTAGTTGAGCTTTGTTCTGGGAACAAATCGGATATAAGTTTTTTTGCTGTGATCATTAATACCTTGCAGAATGAATGCTTTTTTACGGAAATGAGCTTTGTATGAATTTTCTAAAATTCATGAAAATTTCCTTTTCAATTGTTTTTCTGCTAATATTTCGATATAAGCCATATATTTACCCTTGTCCTTTAAAGACTCTGATGTAGTTCGGCTCATTTGTTCGGGCAATGATTTTTTACGGAAATGAACTTTCTATGAATTTTCTAAAGTTCATAAAAAATTTCCTTTTCAAATGTTTTTCTGCTAATATTTTGATATAAGTTACATATTTACCCTTGTCCTTTAAAAGCTCTGATGTAGTTGGGCTCATTTGTTCGGGGAATGATTTTTTTACGGAAATGAACTTTCTACGAATTTTCTAAAGTTCATAAAAAATTTCCTTTTCAAATTTTTTTCTGCTAATATTTTGATATAAGTTATATATTTACCCTTGTCCTTTAAAGACTCTGATGTAGTTGGCCTCATTTGTTCTGGGTACGAATCGGACGCAAGTATGCATGTGGTAGTCATTAATACCTTGCTGAATGACGCCATGTGCGTTACCTTTACAAATATAAAAATATACATTTAATTCATATATACATTTTAAACACAATTTTTAGAATACACTATACGTTTAATTCTTAGATAAAACTACGTATAAAATATGGCTGTTTTATACTTTTGAAAAGTGTGAATACAAATTATTAGTATTAGTTCAAAGTAATTTCCTTCTGCAATAATTAAGTTAATGTTTTAAATTTACTTCAATTTTTATAAAACAGTCATATAATTACGCAATGTTTTAATCGGAGTAATTGGTATAATAACTCAGTAGTGATGTGTGGCCTATAGGTACACATTTGCCCTATATGGACTAAGCAGATGTTTTCTTTAAATAAAACGATTTTAAATCAAATCTTGTATTCTTCCTACTGATTAACTGATAAATAAGTGATAAATGAAATGATGTATACATGCATTTTCACCACTGGAATGAATAATAAATATTCATACATCAAATGGTTCCACGATATTTATTGGTGAATACAGTGTGCTTAAGCCTGCAAACAATTCCCAGTTAATAATTTCTTAAAATAACCCTTAATTTGATCAGATTTTTAATAAAAAGCTACGAATAGGACTGTATTTAAATAATATCTCTTAAATATAAATATTTAGTTTTTATCTTAATACTTATTTTCAGATCAATGAAAAATATTTTATTCAGCTATGAAAGTAATATGTCTTAAAAACGTTTGAAAACTTAACACTTTATTTCTAAAAATGTTGAAAATTGATTTAAATAAATAGTTTACAGCTCATTCGAAAATATTTCAAGCATGATCATTGAATTTTTTACTGTAAGCACTGTTTGACTAGTCATAACTAAAATTTTCCCATCATAACAAGAATGACTTATTTCTTTTTCTCATCCTAACACCAGACCATATAAATAACTGACACTATTCGCTATTATTCAAAGGCCTATTTACTAAAGTTTCTATCACTTCATTTTTTTTTAACTCTATCGATCCGAATATTATAATTTTTATCTAACACAAGTTTTATATTTCGAAGCAAAATTGCATTTTAATTTTAATACAGCTGCTTGAAACATTCTTACTTAATGAAGAATCAATGACGTAAGGAACTCTTGCATTTGGCCACCTATAATGGTTTCCAGCAATTGCATTGCGATCAGCGTCCTAAAAATATGCAGAGCAAGAAAAAAAAAGTTGATCCAGATATTTTTTTTCAAAATATTCTTACAATATTTGCTTTATATAAATTTAGGTATATTTATATTATTTTATCATTATGATCAAAAGATGCAAAGTACAATTCAAATTAAAATATATTTTACGAAATTTATAAAACAAATAATCAAGTAGAACTAAGTAGAAAAATATAGCTTCAAACATAATAAAGGATTAATAAGTAGAACAAAATGTAATTTAATAACACAAGCACAATTAAGAGAACAAAATGAAACATAATTAGCAGAGTCGAATAAAATATAACTGAAATAAATTATACAAAACTTATACAAATAAAATTCAAGAACTGAGTTAAGAACAAAATCTAGCAGAAACTAATAATTGCGAAAAAATAGAATGAAACGGAACTCAGTTTAAAACTTTAATCAAATGTGAAATAATCAAATTAAAGAAAATATTAATAGTCCAGGACAATAATCGAGTCTAATATTATAATATAATAAATATAATAATAAGAAAATTAAATCAGTGTATTCTCACAAGCAATTTTGAAAAAAAAATTAATAGACTAGAATTTTGTGTAGGGTTATCAAGCATTAGAAGTATTATATTTGTGTGTATAGTGTATATAGTGTAGGATTATTAGGGTCTAGAATAATCCTACACTGTATACACTATACATCCTGCACTATATGCACTATAGTGTATGATTATTAGGGACTTATATTTGTGTATCGTGTAGGATTATTAGGGACTAGAATACAAGGTAGGGTTTTTAAGCATTAGAATTGTATAATTGTATAGCATCATTAGGTACTAGAATTCTGTGTAGGATTATCAAGCATTAGCATTGTGTTGGATTATTAGGAACTAGAATACTAGGTAGGGCTATTAAGCGTTAGAATTGTGTAGAATTATTAGGGATTAAAACTCTGGAAAAGATTGTCAAGCGCTAAAATTGTGTAGGATTATAAGAGACTTGAATACGGGGTAGGGTTATCAAGCATTAGAATTGCGTAGGACTTTTTGAGACTAGAATTCGGGGTAGGGTTATCAAGCATTAGTATTGTGTAGGATTATTAGGAACTAGAATACTAGGTAGAGGTATCAAGCGTTAGAATTGTGTAGGATTATTAGGAACTAGAATACTAGGTAGGGTTATCAAGCATTAGAATTGCGTAGGATTTTTTGAGACTAGAATTCGGGGTAGGGTTATCAAGCATTAGTATTGTGTAGGATTATTAGGAACTAGAATACTAGGTAGGGTTATCAAGCATTAGAATTGCATAGGACGTTTTGAGACTAGAATTCGGGGTAGGGTTATCAAGCATTAAAGTTGCATGAGGTTATTACGGACTAGAATTGTGTAGGATACTCATGTCCAAAAAATTGAATGGAAAGTAATCTAGTGTATGACTTATACGAAATTTTACTGAAGAGAATAAGTTCGAATCTAATCAAACAATCCTTCATTTTTTTGGGTTTTTGTTAATAATTCTATTTTCACAATAACATTTTCGAAGCAAAAATTTATTTAAAAATGTTTGCGATTGGATTTTACGTATTTCTCAGCGTTTTAAAATTGTGATAAGCTGGCGTTTTTTTATTGAATACAATAAAATATTAACGCAAGTAACTAAATAATGTAAAAAATATTACTGAGAGTAATTTCGTTAATTATTAAAAAAATACTTAATTCAGTTAAATTTAAAACATCACACAATACAAAACATTGAAAAAGTGTTGTCATCAAAAGTTACATGTAGAATTTTAAATAATAGATTATAAAACACTAGGAGGCTCCGCCCCCTGCTCGCTAACGCTCGCCAACCCCCGAGAATTGCTACGCAATCCTATGTGGTTCACGCCGTGAACCAAGGCTCGCTACGCTCGCTCGCCAATGAACACAATGTTCTAGCACAAAGACATAATATATTATCATCAAAGACANAGCGTTTTGAAATTGTGATAAGCAGGCGTTTTTCTATTGAACACAATAAAATACTAACGTAAGTAACTAAATAATGTAAAAAATATTACTGAAAGTAATTTCGTTAATTATTAAAAAAAATACTTAATTCAGTTAAATTTAAAACATCACACAATACAAAACATTGAAAAAGTGTTGTCATCAAAAGTTACATGTGGAATTTTAAATAATAGATTATAAAGCATGTGTTTTTCTCTATAACAAAAACATTAATAGCAAAAAATATTTTCAAACAAACCAACATGAAAAAATTAAAAACATATTAAACTCATAATTAATCTTCAGATTTATGTATTTTTGCTAAACTTTAAAAATGAAATTTTTTTTCTAAAATTTATGCTCACATATTCTCCAGCTATATCCCCATCGAACAAATCAGGATTTTGAAGAGCCAATCTAGCCTCTAAAAGAGAGAAATTAATTAATTATTATAATTTCAATAATTATTTTAAATGAATTTTAGGAAAAACCTATTTATAATAGTGAAATTATTTATCATCCTTACAGTAGATCAATCTATTTGGTCATATTTTATAGATCATTCCAAAAATATTTTAAAATCAAAATGCTCCACATAATTACTTTTGATTTTAACACAGTTTTGCTTTAGAATTGAAAATTACAGAAAATGCTAATACGAAAAAAATCATTTTACACTTTTTTTTAAGAATAAAGTCTCCACATTTTCCTGTTTACTTTAAATGAAAGTTATTTTTTTCACGAACTGCGTTGTATGTGAAAGTTAAGTAAATGAGAAAAATAAGCATTACAAATTGTATGATCTATAACTTACTGGAGGTACAAAAATTGCAGTTTGAATGCATTTAAATGTCCTGTACTTATTATTGAAAACCTTTAATTTTTAGTTATATAATTAAGTGTAAACATATTGTGTATACAATTTAACGATTACAGTTAACCTTTTGCATATACCATTTTTTTATAGTTTCAGTACTTTATTGAACACAAAATTAAGACAATCTAATTTTCAAAAGTAACCTGGATCTGAATAACACAGAATTACTCGTTTGTTATTGATTGCGAAACTTAATTAGTTATCAAAGCTGAAAAATAGTATTCTCTCGATTAATACTATGGATTATTAAGAATTAATTTTGAGCATATGAAAATCTGATTAGTGGAAAAAAATGTTCAGTATTAAAATTATTATTTGCTGTGTGTAGTGCCTTCCTTAGCAATGCTTTATATGCTTTCTTAATGCATAAAATAACATAGATTTTTTTAACATATTTCATAAGACTAAAGTAAAATTTAAGTCATTAATTTGAAATGAATATTCTCAAGAGACAGGAACGGAAAGATAGATATGATAAGATAAATGAATTCTATATGCGGAAAAAAAATCTAGTAAAAATACTGAACTGTGGGGTGATTACAAAAAAAAAGCATAATTAAGGTAATAAAAACCAAATTATACAGTATTTAAGCCACTCATTTGGTAATTTTTCCGTTCATGCAGGCATTTGGTAATAATTCTGTTTTATCGGAAATTCTTATTTTCCAAACTTTAACTCTTACAACCAAACATATGGTAAAGGACACAAAATAAAAGTATAATTGACCGGGTAAATTGCCTTTATGACATTCTTTAAGGTACCATGAAAAAATTACTAAATTTTACCACATTTACCGAATGTTATCAGATATTATAAAACGAAATTTTATTGTAAATTTTTCCAAAACAATCACCAAAGCGCTTGTGTCAAAAACTACAGAGCATTTTCGTGTTTTTAAAGAGCCAGAAACAGGGTAAATTTTACCATAAATTGGTAGTTTTGACCATACATTTTTTCACAATGTACTTCATTAACTATAAGGATTGAAGAATCCGTATGTTTCAAGAATTCACAAATAGGCACCCATTAACTACGCATCTATTGTTAAAAATTAGGAACTGTTACTGAATATTACCTGCACTTTGCGTAGGACTTAATTGAACCTCTTCAGAGAAGGCAACAGCTACCAAACCAGCGATCAACAGAGCAATTTTCATGCTTGCAGATGAAAGACTGAAAAGACTTAATCTTTAAAAATAATGTGCGCTACATTTAAAGGCTTCGTTTTGATACGATTACTTAACTTCCGGTTGAAAAATGCCAGGTGTTACTGATTAAAATTTTAAATTTCAGTGTAATCTTGTAATCTTTAACCTTAATGAAAAAAGAATAAATTGAAAATAAACGTTGCAAAATAATTATCAAATGCATAATAAAGTTTTTTGCAACAATTTTATCACGGTTTTGCTCCGTAGGCATTTTATATGTTTTAAATAAATAATGTCTTGCAACAATTATAAAAATACAATGCATGCATTTCAATTGAAGTCCTTATCTCCTGAAATTTTTAATTTCATACAGCTGGAATGGAATATCTTCCTGAAAGCTGGAAAACTAAGCTTTACTCTAACAACAGATTTCCAGATTAGGATTATTCTTAAGAATTCATTACAATAGTTTTATCGTTACAGTTCAGCTGCTATATGAAATAGTTTAAAATATTTGTTTGAGTTGCAAATAGCTGTGTACCACTTAAAAAATTATTACTCTAATTATTATGCTTTTTGAAGTTAAAATTCATTTCGCTTTTATTAACATTGTAACGACAACGTTTAAAGCAATAATCATTTTCTTTCTTTATATTTATGGATATATCCCTAAATATCCATTAGCTAATAATTCATGAGGTTTAAACCATGAGGAATTAAACATCCATTAACAAAAGTTTACTATTCAGAAAACTTTAACTCTTTCAGTAACTCTTGAATTAAGTAGTAATTGTTAAAGATTTTAATTTATAAAAGGCATATATCATTAATTTAATTTAAGTTATAAACAAATGTGCTTTGTTGCATTAAAAAAATAGGTTTTGAAAAAGATTTAGGGCTTGTTCAGTAATAACACCTTGAAATCGAATAATAGCTGCTGGTTTTAACGTACAACTGATTCTGTTTAAACAGAAATATACTCGAAAAATTTTAAATTTCAACAGAGTTTTACCACAGGTTAAAGAAGTTTTTCATCCTGGAACAATTTTTTGTTCCTCAGTTCAAAAAAATTTCCTTTTCTGGTTCCAGTCACTTGAATCTCCATTATGTATGAGCACATAGTATCATAACGCATGGTATAATTATGAATTGTATCATAATACCATGTTATGAACACATGGTAATATGGCAAAGTATTATAATTTCATTATGCTGTTTCCGAAGTTTAAAGCGAGATATTGCTTCAAGTAAAATGCATCCTTTTTTGAATTTCCAGCTGAAAAAAGATATTTAAAAAAATGACATTATGAATATCTTTTCTAATTCTCAAGGAAACCGAAAATTAACGAACAATGAATACAAAAAGTGAAACTGAAAGTCCCGAAACTATATAACTTGGTTACTCAACAGACGGGGTATTGAAACGAAATCTAAAGCATCTCAATTAATATATTATGATGTATCCATGTTTAATCCATATCACTTTTTGCTCCTGCCAGACAGTGATCCAAATGGAATTTTCAAAACTGTTCTAATCACCACTTTGAGAGTGGCCCAAACACTGACTCTGCAAAAGTTTCTTGAATTTGCTAATATGAAAGGCTTACAGCTCAACCATCCACTCACACTTTTATAAAGCCAAGTTACTCTTGAATTAACTCTGTTATTAAAGCCAGTTATTCTGCGTCCAAAAAGTTAAAGAGCATAATTTCTTTTGATAAACTCTTTCCTTACACAGAAACTGACACACTTCTTTACATATTTAAAATTAAACTACTTAATTTCGATTTTGGACTCTGAAGATTATTTCCCTCTAACTTTTGTAAATTGCAGAAATAACCAAACCCACCGTAATGGTTGCTTTCTTTAGCCACTTGATTAGTTATGGTTGGTTTCTTTAGCCATTTGGTTACTTCCTGACTGATACAGGAAATTATGATTGATGACATCAGAAAAATTGATGACAAGATAAAATAGGAAGTCGTGAAGGCATTTAATCTAAAAATGCAGGTAAATCCTTAGTAATGTTGAATGGGGACACGCAGCATTACAATTTATCTTTAAAAAAGTTTCAATATTTTTCAAACTCTTCAAAGTAAATTTATTCAATTATAGAAAAAGATTTTTTTTAATTATATTTATATCAAAACAGCCTTCTGCATTTTTTAAGCAACAAAAATTAGTTCTAGCTGAACTAGAGGAGGCATGAACTGATAATGAGTTCTTAATAACTCTAAGTATAATTCGATCTTTGAACAGTCCATCTAATCACTTTAATTTCTTTAAAGAGTTGTTTCATATTGAAAAAAACTTGAATATTAAAAAAAAATCGTTGAACATAGATAAGAGTGTAAGTGGATATGCATTTACTAATTCGTATGCATTTACCAATTCAATTTAATAACTCAAATAAAAATTATTTTTCTCCTATTTTCTAAATTACACTAAAACTACAGCTAGCAAATCATTTTAGTGCAATATCTATGGATATAAGATAGAATGTGAAAATAAGTTCGAATAAAAGGTTAGTGCAGTCAAACATCGCTATAGTGAACCTTCAAGGGACCGAAATTTCAGTTCACTGTATCCGTTCGACAGGCAATTTTAACTAATGGTTTTAAACTCCTCCCTTTTATTACCCATTATTTTCCTAAATAACATATAAAATGAAATACAAAAATGACTGACATGACTTTACTATATAGTATGATAAATTTACTAGAATTTTTTTCTCCTTGAAGCAACTAAGTTGTTTTATATAAAAGGGTTACAGAACTACTATCAGTACTTCTGTAATGACCTGTTTTTGAAGTAAATTAACTTACTTCAAATTAAATATTTTATTGATAAATGTGGATGTTACAACAAAGGTGTAATTAACAGCAATAAAAAGAGAATTTATCTTCATATAAGATATCTTGTAATCCTCTGACAATTAAAACTCTTTTGAAAAACTAAATGCAATTCTGTTGAATGAAAATAGTAAAAGACTTTGTAAAACTAAAATAGTAAAACTTTGTGCTCTACACCACTGGTTCCCAAATGATGTTCCGTGGAATCCTAGGGTTCTGTAGATAGATCACTGGGCCTCCGTAAGCTAAGTCTTTTTTTTTTAACCAGCAATGATTTTTAAAAACCAGTAATAGGTTTGTATCGAACCAATAGTCCATACTTTATTTGACTTTAAAGTTATTTTTAAGAAATTATTCATGTAAAATTGAAATAGGAATTGAATTGCGAAGCAATTTCATGCAATTTCAAATTCTTGCATTAATATTACTCGTCGAACTTTTAAATTCAAAATAAAATAACCAAGTCCAAGAATAAAGATTTATTTTTCTCTGATAACCTTTCTTGCAATTTATAACAAATCGTTTTCAAAAATGATGATTCAGATTATTTTTACTCAATTTCAACTTAAAAATACTACTAGCAAAACTACTAGGCAAAAACTACTAGACTTAAGCAAAAAAGAAAAAGATAGCAAAAAACATGGCCTCTATAGACTTGCGAATTCAATTGCCTAACAAAAAACCTAGTTTTAAGACTTATTGATGAAACAATGAATAAATTTCATTAACAATAAATGTTTTTGAATTAAGTTGAAGTTTTCTTTGCTTTCAAATTTACACCTGTTCATTAATGTTTTTTAAAAGTCAGGGTTCCACCAAAAGAATTGTGATATTTAAGGGTTCCGTGGCTGAAAAATATTTGGAAACCGCTACTCCACGCAGCGAATTCGCTTAAAAAAAAGAAGCTTTAGACATCGTCAATAACATTTAATAACTCACTCTGATAAAATTTTTGAGGCAAATATCAGGCACTCCTCTCTGTAAGATCTGCTTTCTTCAGGAAAAATCAGGAGAGCATGTCTTAACTCACGTATAACAGTATCTACTTAATGACAATCCTTCATCAAGAGATGCTGGTTGTTGTCTATAAATTCTTCCCACATAAGATTAGTAAATAGGTTGAAATGCTAATATGTTACAGAATTTATATAATAAATGCAATATGAATAACATATTATGATTTTGATATTGAAATGTAGAGTTAGACTATATTTAAGGAAATAATACTTGACATTTTAATATTTTCCTTATCCTTGTGCAAGTGAAATTAATTGTCATGATAAAACTCTTCCCTATATTAATTAAAAAGAAGTTATTTATGCCATTTACATGATGATTTTTTGAAAAGGGAACATAGATTTTAAGTTTGAATTTAACAAGCAGTAAAATTCTGTGTTTTTCATTAATTTAAATTTTTTTTAGCGGCAGGCACTGAACTTCTCGTTCTTTCACATTAAAAGATGCCGAAACTGTTGATTTTTTAATATTTGTAATAAATTAGTAAAAATAAAGTTGAACAATATTTTCTGAAACTAAATTTCAAACAGCATAAAAATACTTTTAAATTGCTAGAAAATCATCATTTTAAAGAACTGTTAAAAATGCATCTCTATATAATTTCCAAAATACATACAATTGCATAAAAACAATGCTCGTTATCGTGAAGTTAAAAGCTTGCGACCCATTCCATTGATGGAACCAAATACACGAGAACTATAGATACGAACTATTTCCTCTCGTAGGGTGTCATTAGTTATGTAATATAATCTTAGACATCCCAGTAAAAGAAGGGGAATTGGGCTTATTCGTTCGTAAAAGAATTGTCAAAAGAAATTTGGCTTCCTCTTTTATTGAGGAATGGACAAATCTCAGAATTTTTCTTTTTATTCCGTTTACTCCAGACGGGAATAGAATTTCTAAGGCTCTGTTCTGGAATCAGATTATTCCAAAAATAAAATAGGAAAATATTTTACGGGGCAACGAGATAAAAGAATTTTTAGGAAGAAAGATTGCAGTAGTTAACATGTTCAATAGAATATTTCATTTTTATTAGTTATTAAGTAGTTTTAATACACTGATGAAAATTTCTCGGGAAAAAAATATTTAATCAACAGAGTTGCAATATACTGATCTTGAAAAATACGAAACTGTCATAAAAATATAAAAATTTCAAAAAAGGATATTGCAACGTACAGAAGGAAAGGGAGGACCAAACACTTTGAATAACTTTT